AATGGGTTTTGCAGATAGTCCTATGACATCCTGAACAAATGGTGGAATGTTTGGAATCTTTAGTACTTGGACACAAGTTGCACCTACGCCTTACCGCAGGACCTTTTGCCTTGGTCGTTCTTCATGCGCCATTTCTGTTCCTAATGCTCTAGATGTTATTGAACGAAGCTCCTTCAAAAAGTTTTGTATTTCAAGTCTATTTTGTAAATGGTTCTTGATAAGACTTAATCCCAATGCCTCCATAAAATATAAGCGGTTTTTTTAACTCCAGGATAAGCGGCGAGAAAAATAATATTATTTACTGTAGCAATATACATTATAGCATACCAAATAACTAAGGGCCAACGACGACATCGTCTTCCTGAACGATAAATGGCACATTTCTGATCAAGAGCATCAACTCCCCCTTTTGTAGCATCATTGTAAAAAATAATTATCTCAGGTTTTTTGGTGTTTTGATCAACAAAGTTGTCATGATGCATGGTTGATAACACAATTACACTTCTGTTCTTTTTAGGGACATATGACACGATTGTGTTTTCTCAAGTAAAACCAAACAAGCATTTATCAACTTCGTATTTTTTATTCGGCTTAAATTGTGGAGGAATTTCCCTCTTATTTTCACGCATAGTTCCCACATACGTAAGTCCAAGTTTCTTCAGTTCACCAACCAGCTCTAATGAGGCAAACCAGTTATCACCAGTGATATTCCGGTTGCTATTCGCAATTGGTTCCACTAATCTAAGAACTGATCTAGTAGGTATGGTCAATGTAGAGGAATTTGCCTCCCTCATTCGTTTTACCCGCATGGACGGAAGCATTTACCAAATAATGTGTCTTGTCATCACATAGGCACATAATCATATTTAAGTCGCCCCGGAGCGCGACGGCAAATAATAATAATAGCCGTCCCTTTCTCCGGACAATCTCAGCTTTTGGGGTTAAAATTCACTCGTAAGGGGGTGAATTAGGGAGAGTATTATTATTATATGTTGTTAAAAATTCGAAACATTTGTAGTTTGCTATACTGTTAGATATAAAAGCGTTAAACTGATAGGGTACTGCTGCAAGTCTATCACCATTGGCTATTTTTCTGTTCGTATAGCAGGATTGTCAAATCTAATTGCTGTGAGCAAAAATAAGAAGCGTTTCTTAGACATTGTTGCACGCAAAATTGGCCTATCTAAGCAACCAATCTAAAATAATAATTCTATATTCTCGTGATTAGATTTGAATAAACCAGAAAGGTATATAAGACCCAAAAAAAGCTTTTAGTTCGGCTTCTTCCAAATGACCAACAAAAATACAATTATCCACATAATTCACACTCAGTTCTGTGATTTTATCAATAGTATTCTCTAAAATGTTTGACAACATATCGGGTGTTATAAAGATAGACCAGGCTTCAAGTGAACTGGATCATTTTGTATCCATTGTTTGATGGATGCCTTGCACAAAGCCTTAGCAACTCTACAGATGGGTGATGGGCCTGTCATAGCCTTATTTGAGCCTTCTGGGGCTAATTTACCTGCCTTTTCTTTGCCCTGATGTGCCCTGGTACTCAGGCTAAGGTCACTTTTTCTTAACTGTTTAGCTATGTCAGGTCTTCTATTCAGTATTTCGCCAGTGGTGATTTAATTTCTGGTGAGAGAATTGCCTTTAGAGCTGCTTGGTTACTAGGGTAGATGAAAATAGTTTTTCCTAGTACTTGCTAATTTAATTTCTCTTACACAGTGTTATATAGCTATCAGTTGGGCTTGAAACAATGTTGGATATTTTAGTAGACTCACTGAAATCGTTATTTACGACTTGGACCCAAAGATTCCAGCACCGGCTCCTTCATTGGCCTTTGAATCGTCTGTATTCCAGACTAGTTAAGCATGTATTGGAGGTCCTTATTTCCAGGTTTCTTGGACTAGTATTTAGATTTGAAAATTTCTTTCAAATTTGTATGTGGTTATGGGTATAGCAGTAGGCATTCCTAGAATTTTATCATTTTTTGCTTGCTCTATGGTCGACGCTATGTATTTGGTTTATTGGGTTTTATCCCTGCATTATCTTGGGAATTACGGACCTGGTTTCTCCTTGCATGAAGATGTACAGTAGCGTGAGGCTTAATACTACCTCCAATGCTGCAGTTGGTGTAGTACGCATTGCTCTTGTTACACTCAGAGAGGCGAGCCTTAAATGATAGTAAGTTGGCCTATTGCACTTGACTGCACAGTTTACTGTGCCGTGCACTCTTGCTTATAACCATATGGCCATTTTAGAGTTTAGGCTCCAGTTTTGCCGCATATTCTTCAACTTACAAGTTAAAATATTGTAGCTTTGTATGCAAGTTTTTGAGATGTCGATACGACGTCAACCTTTGGTGAAATATGACTCCGAGGTATTTAGCTTATGTGACAAATGGAATGACCATGTTGCTTAGTAGTGATTTTAGTCCCGTAGGCCAGGAAAGTCAACTGACCTAGCGCTAAACAATAGATGACAAAGATATCGCAATAATAGCCACTTTCTTATATATCGAAGGTGCTTTCAATACATCATCATACATCATACATCAAACAGATCAATAACAAAAACTCTAGAACAGAAAAGTGTGCCAGTCATAATATGCCAATGAATTATTGCAAGCATAGAGAAAAATACAATTGTATCTACTGTAGGAGAGGCAACATTTTTAGGCAAAAATTACAAGGGGATATCCACAAGGAGAAATATCTCCAATGTTGTGATCAGTTCTAGTTGACGACCCACTCAAATTACTGTTTAAAGAAGGCTAACAGTGCCTAGGATACGCAGATGGTCTAGCAATTATTGCCAGGGGACGATTTGCAGGCAAAGTCTTGAAGGGTTCTTAAACAGCTCTAAACAACTAATGCCAAAATAAAAAATTGTCCGTTATAGTACACAGAACATCAGTTGAACCATTCACAAAAAAACTGCTGGTGTGTTAAATGGTTGGGATGGAGAAGATTTTATCCTAAGATATAGTTCCCTAATAGCTATCAATCTTTTTATTGTTTTTAGTAAGAAAGAGGATTAGGTTATGGCGATATGACTTTTCTTTTCTCCTGTCATCCTTCTTACTTTGGTAAGACTACTTTCGACTTTGCCACCAAAAGTAGCCATATCTTACGAACAATACACAGTTATACAGTACCTACCTTTTTTCTAATATCAGCTAAAGAAAATCTATAAAGTTTTTAATAAAATAGAGGTCATTAAGATAAAATAACTATTTAATTAACACGAAGAATTGAATTATCACTTTGACCAAATTAAAATATAAAAAAGAATTTAATTTGCCTTCACACTAGATTTGAACCACGGATCTTTCATAACTGCAATTTTTGGGCTATCACGTCACATAAAAAAGAGTAAAACAAAATATTTATAAAGTAGGCCATGGCTGACAAACTGAGATGAGAGTCATGGCCGTGATAAATACTTAAGCTTCAAAATTAAAACCAGACTGCCATTTAAAAAATTAGAAGAATTGAATGCTCCGATAATTGTGATTTTCTCCATATCCTACTTTAGAAACATTTTTTTGACGATCTGCTCCATATAAGTTTAATGACATCGATGATTAAATTAGTTTTAGATAATTTCAATAAAATTTAATGCGTAATATATTTTTTTTATTTTGGTTGAATGCCGTTAAAGTTTGTATTTCTTAACGTTAGAATTCTGCAAGATTTTTCAATTATTTAAGTTCATGTTTCATTCATTTATGTTTTGTTGTGTTGTACATTAAATTATTAATAAAATCAGCTTTCAAAAGAAGTATTACACTTTACAATACGTAATAGTTATCATCCCGCTAGATGGCGCTAAAACCAAAAGTAATGCCATGAATAGTCATATGGCTCAATTCTCCATAACATTACATTTTCAATGATGTGCCATATTTGGTACTTTCCACATACTTTGATTACTATACGGTGCAAGAGAGAGGTCCGACACGCCCAACATAGGGCGCGGCCATTTTGATTCCTATTCCACAGTTTATAGCTAAAGAATCAGATCGCTCACTCTGCGTCGGCACTTTTGATCTCAATGTTCCAGTTTATACACTGCGCAACTCGGATAATACAATATATAACAACCGCCTATAATAAAACAGCAGTCTTCTGCGTATCCTGAATTTGTATCCCTGGAGTGGATGTTATTTTGGAACTTTCAACTGGTCCGAGTGAGCTAACTGATTCTTTAGCAATAAACTGTGACTCCAAAAATAATATTCACTGACACTGACAGCAGCAAGCAAAATATCAGGTGCGTTTTAATCATCCGCTTCTGCTTCCGGAATTGTCGGTTTAGTCGTTTTAACCTGTCAGATTAAAACAAGAAAACTGACAATTCCGAAGCAGAAGCGGATGATTAAAACGCACCTATTAAAAATATTGCGCCAAGATGTAGGCAACACGTAATAAAGGATTAAAATGGCGGAGTTTTCTATCTCCTTTTAAAAGGCACTCAGAAAGCTGCGCAGTGCGACCATTCTCCGTATAGTAAGAAAGAAAGTAAGAAAGAAAATCAAAGTATGTTGTACTTTCTCTATTTAGATTGTATTGGTTAGGGAGAAGAGGGGCAAATGACGTATGAAAATTGGGCATATGATAGGAAGATGTCTGCCTTTAATTAAAAAATTCTATATTTTGTGCATAAAGTAGATATTATACGTGTGGGTATAGAAAAACATATATTCTACCGCGATTAATATATCATTGACAAACCTTTTTTTTTGAGCGCTATACGGATAATCCACTATATTTTTTCTACGATCCATTAAAGAAAAACTACAGAATTTAAAAAATTATTTATTTTAAAAATTATTAATGTAAAGATTTAAAATTAAGTCTCGATTTCAACCATTTCGCCACGACAGCTTAAAATTTTATTTGATTAAGTATCGTATTTATTAGTGTTATCTACTTTATTAAAATTTATTTAATGAAATATAGCCTAAATGTTTATGTTTATATTTCCAGAGAAATAGAAATTTTAACCACAAACGAAACGATAGGTAGAGCTCCAGAACCTATATTAGGTGTTGGAGTTAGACAAGCCGGCAAATTGGTCACTGGTGAGCTCAATGTATCTCCTGGTACGCCACTTCAAATGGAAATTTTCTTAGATAAGGTGTCAGCGCCTATATATGGTCTTCTAGTGACTCATATGCAAGTGACCGATACGAAGACGCAAGAAGAAACTATTATTTATAATGGGTAAGTTTAATTTTTTTTTATACAATCTCAATAAAAACTAATTTTATGAACTAAATTTGCTTACTTATAATCAAAGTACTCATATTTTCTTGTATTTGGAAACACCGTAGGTAACGCCTAACATCTGCATATCAAAGCTCGCAGACGCTGTATCAAAAAGAACGATATGAGATGCCTCCTTTTGTAGAAGATGAGGTTTGGTCTCTGAGGGCTTTTTTCTCTTTGTCTCAATTGTACAGAAATTATATTTTTGTCTCATTCTTCCCTCAAACTTTCTATTTACTCAGATTCAAGAATATTTAGTCCGGTATGTCTGATAGATGTTTAGCGAGTTCATCGTTATCACCTTTGCCTTTAGGAGGTTTGAAAATGTAGATTTTTCATCACCACTTTGTTTGTTCATTTCACGACTATTCTATTTATCTGAATTGGGATGTAATTTAAAACCCACTCGTGCTTAAACTTAGAGCTTCTATCAGTTTCTACTCTAAGAGGTAAATAAATTATCTTGTTGTATTCAAGAATATGTCTAATGGACACTTTCGCAAATTTTTCAGATTCCAGATATTGTACATCGAAGAGATACTCCTACAAAAATACTTTATAGTCATGAAGAGCTAGTTTCCTATCCGATGACATTATTAACATCGGATGTTTTATTATTTTTTTCAACATCATAGTATAGTATCCTTATCTTAAAAGTTGTACTAAAGAGAGACCTAGCAGCAGCTTGAATGCTGTAGTGGTCATTCTTCTATGGGACCTTGTAATTATTAGACAAGCGTCTTTGTATATTGCCAAATTTTTTCTAGCAGTTTCGCTTTTAGCCTTGTGCAGAGTAGGTTACAATGAGTACTACAACGCTGGTAATTGGTGTATCGCATTTGGTTTGAGATTGGGTGATATTAATAAAAATTAAGTTTATACCCTGAGCATATACTCAAGAGCATGAGCATAAAGTAGGAGTTTATACTTCAATCTATATGAATAAAATGTATCACAGTTTTAGCGAGTAGATGCTCCTATAAAACTAAGCAGATACTCTTATTTACTGGCAACGCCTACTAAAGCTTGACTGTTTTGAAAATGTTTTGAACAAGCCATGAGGTCTCTATGCTTATTAACCATTCATTTTAATTGCGTGTTGCTTGTACATTAATGCTAGGATACCCTTTACGATTTATGTATTCATTTCCATGGCCACGGGGCTTCTTTATATTTATGTGAGTACAATCAATGACACCTAACTGCACAAGCGAACTTGTTTGTCACTTTTCTTTATCCATATTATGTATATCTGTAGAGACATTTTATTTAAGAGCAGCTTTTGAAACAGAAGATGGTAGACTCTCAAATCTTCTCCTACCCCAGATTAAAAACCTGGATCTGCTACCTACCTCAAGAATATTTTTAGTTTATCGCCCAGCTTCTTCTTTCTTTACCCAAAAAATTATTCGACATTTACTCTGTTTTCTCTTGTAAAACGTAACACTTTACGCAGATCGTTCTTGGTTTATAATAATTTTTTGCTCGCAGATTCATTCAGCACCCAGCCATCACTTCTTTGTGGTCAAACTGAAACTGAGTCTCCCTCGAAGGAGACGCCACTTATATGAAGTAGAAACTCAGATTTTTAAGCAATAATTTATTTTTATTCATAAGAATATTAAGTTTATACTCACTTTAAATTGTACATGAGAGTACCTACTCATACAGATTGGAGTATTGCGCTTTATTCATATTAGCCAAGGCCTGTTTCCTACCATCAATATTCTTAAAGCTTTTTCTGCTGTTGTATGGCTGACAGCACAAGCCAAGCTTCTCAGTAAGGACGACTCCCAACCCCAAGTTATTTAACTTTCCTTTTAACATATGAAAAGCTTTCAAAAAATTGTCGGTAATAATCGTACTATTTATTATATTACTCATAAAAATACTGCATTTGAAAATAATATATTAAGTCAAACACATTAGTTCTAAAAAGAAAATTTGAATAATTGAATTTTTCTTACAGATGTTCTGTAGATCCTTATCTTTTCGAAAACTTTAATACTGAAGATGGAGATTTCTTGTCAGCGAAATTTAGGGCTTTCAAGTTCCCAGAATCTACATATGTCCAATTTAAAGGAACCGTAAATGTATGCCTCGATAAATGCAAAGGGGTAAGTCAAAAATGTATTTATGAGATTGGAAGAAAAGTCTGGAAACCGCGAATTGCTACTTTAAGAGATGTTGGGAGGGGGTGACTCAAACATTTTAAATCAATAACCATCTCGAGTTCTACCCTGTTTTTAAATGTAACCTGCCTGTTTCATAACAGCGAGCGGTTTAAAAATAATACGGTATTTTTGTTTTTTATAACCATTAAAAATTATTTTTTTTTTTAATCGATTTCCGTTCATAAAACATGAAATTGTTGAACAATGTAAAAAATAATGTTATTATTGTAAGTATTTTTTATACGATTTAGAAAAAATAGTGTATGTAACTCGTGGGAAAGTATTTCTTATTGTTTAAATACAACTTCGTCGTCATTTAAATATAAGCTGACCCTGTCGCACACCTAGAATTTAAGCTTTTTCAGTTATATCTACCTTTTAAATTGCCACGAAAGTTTGTAAAATCGACGTACAACACGAATTAAAAACGTCTAACTACATAGTCTAATGCCGTGTGAATCACAAAAGACGTGAAAAAGACTTGAAACGCGAACCCAAGCAGTATTCTCAACTGGGATGCGCAATTTTTTTAAAATATCGATATTGACATCAAATGACACATCGAATACAGACTATCGATACTGTAAAAAAATCAACATCGATGTTATTCAAAAGCAATTAATTGAAGAGCAAAAAAATAAAAAAACATCGATGTTAACTAAATAACATCGAATAAAAAACATCGATGTGATCATCGAAACCGAAAAATCGATGTTTATTATTAAACATCGATTACATCGATACATCGTGCGCATCCCTAATTCCCAAATCCATCGTTCGTCGTGAAGTCAGTGATCCTTATCTGAGCTGCTAAGAGCTTGCTCTACAGTTAAAGGATCAGAATGCTAATCTTCATCGATTATTGCTGAATATAGTAATTACATAATATTTCATTGCTTTAGGTGGTTTTCTTGGCACTTTTTCCTGGGGTTCGTAGATAGGGTCGATAGGGTCATCATAGGAGCAGACAATTGATGTTGTATACCTGTAGCTTTGAAGAAATTTGAAATTTCGGTGCCAGAATATTCACCACCGTTATCGATTCTAAAACATTTAATCTTTTGGCCTGTCTGTGTCTCCTCAATAGTCAAATTTTAAAATATTCGAACACCTGGTCTTTAGTTTTTAAAAAAATATAAAAATAAGTGGTAAAATTTAAAATAGAGTAATAAAAAATTGTAACTGTTATAGTCCTGATGAAGTTTGAAGTTGGGAATTAATGTGTTTGTTTTTATAAAGTATTCAAAATGTATATATTTTTATTAAAACCTTAGATATAACGCCGTTTCCAAAGATTTCTTTTATTTAAGCTGTATAATGTGTAATAACAAAAATACATAAAAATCAAAGCATTATTTGCAGTACCTATTTTAGAATTACAATTGGATGAATTAATTTTGTTTTAGGTTGAATGCAGTGATGGTCAGATTGGCTACGGAAGAAGAAAAAGAGCAATTTCTGAATTACCACCTGACCCAAATAAGATATTCGAAATCACCATAACGTCCTTCATTAAAGTAGGATCTGAAAATACTGTAGTCGATACCAACAACGAAAAAATATACAATAATAAGAAGTTCATAGTAGGGAACCAAATGACTGAAAGAGAAATTGTCAAAGGTATGGCTAAGTTGTTTATATGTATCTTTCCTAATTATCTAGCTTTAGCTCTTTTTATTTCTGTGGATTATTTTCATCGAAAAATTTGGTACATACTTTTTATACAGGGTGAACCAATTATCTCCGAAACTAACTGAGATATCGAAATGAACCAAATAACCGTTTTATTTGATTCGAAAATACCTATATTTGGAAATTAGTTGTTAAATTGTAAATGATGATCCACGTTCATGTTGCAAAAACATTATTGAAATTTTTAATCGAAATAACTACCCCATATATTTTTACATTGTTGGATTGCTACTTCACTAACCTCTACTCCAATATAGTGAGTAATAGCCTAATAATAAAGGAATGGACTGCTGGAGCACCAACAAGAATTGCAAGCAATCCTAGATATAGAAAACATAGACAATACGCTTATCAAGAGACTCACTTTGCCAATGAGTCCTTTATTAAATTTAAGGGATATAACATTTATTATACCATTCATCCCCAAAATGCAGTAAGAGGAAGTAGCGCAGTAATAATTAGAGAAACATATCTGGTCCATATAGAGATATTTAGCTCTCTTCCTGGCCAAGAAGTTTGTTTTCTCGTTTCTCAATACTTCCTCATATTCAAGAGTAACCATGTTATGTTCTGACAGGGCCTGGAGGGATTGTTGGCAGTCCAATACTAATTTGAATTGTAGTTCTGCCCATTTCACTACTTAAAGTCTTTTTTTTTAGGAGAAGAAAACCGCTTGGCACCCGCTGCTGAGTCTATGCAGCAGCTAGTGTCGGGCGCAACTCCGACTAAAATCCCTTGCTCTTCTACTAAGCTACAAATAACCGGGTACCGTCGTGTAGACATTTCTCCGGTTATAGAGCTGTCTTTATTATATCTCTTGTGACCTCCTCCTTTCTTCATTTTCCTTTCTAATCATTATATTTTTTATGAAGCCGTGTATTGCTTTCCATCTTTTTCGCAGCTTAACATGTTTTCCATCATAGACTCCTCCGCCAGCGGGCCCCCTAGTTCGACTTCTAGTTGTTGCCTATCTGCAACCCATCTATCGCATATAAAAATCGTGTGGGCTGAGGTATCTCTTTCTCCGCAGTATTCGCAGGACTCGTCTAGTAACTTGCCGATTCTAAAGGTGAAGGTTTTAAAGCTACCATGCCCTGTCATGGCTTGTGTTAAAAAGTAGTCTACCCTTCTGTGCTTGCACATTAATCACGGGTAGATTCTTGGTATGCACTTCTTAGTCCAAGCTGCCACTTCCCTTCCGTTTTCCGATCATACCTGCCATTTTTCCAGTGTCTCCATTCTTTTATTTTGGTCTGCTATACCCAGAAACAAGCTTTGTCGTTCCTCAGCCAGGAGGTCTATGGGGGGCACCCCGGCCAGTACCTAAAGGGCTTCGTACGACACAGTTCTGTATCCACTCACAATCGTCAGGTTTGCTTTCCTCTGGATACCGATGAGTTTTTTTTATATTTTTCGACTCTCATAGCTTTGCTCCATATTGGTGCTCCGTAAAGTAAGATGGATTGTACCACCCCGTCCAAGACCCGCCTTTTTGCGTCGCCATGCCCCTTTATGTTTGGCATTATCCTGCTCAGTGTTGCCATAGTTTTCTCTGCTTTTTTTATGGTCTTGTTTATGTGTGTGTTAAAAATAGGTTTGTCGTCTATCCACACACCCAGATATTTGACGCTTTGATTTGGTTTAACCACATTATTTCCTACTTGTAGAGCTATTCCGTTTCGATTTCTCTTCCCTTTTAAAATAAGAGCTTCGGTCTTCTTTGGCGCAAGCTGCAGCTCGTGTCTAATCCAAATTTCCATTTACATTACTGCATGCTCCGCCATCTCTTGAAGTTCTTCCTTACCATCAGCCTCGATCAGTATTGAGAGATCGTCCGCAAACGCCAACGTTGTGCAGGATTCGCCAAGGCTCAAGCCCAGTACAGGGTCGTACAAAATGTTCCACAAGGTTGGTCCTAAGACCGAGCCTTGTGGTACACCGCCGCTCACTTACATCTTTGCCTCCTTTCCGATATATATTTATCTGCTAGTAAAGTAGTTTTCAATAATTTTAATTAAGTATCCGCTCACTCCTAACTCCCTAATTCTGTTTATTATTATCCTCCACAATGCGGTGTTGAAGGCGTTTTGCCCCTTCCTGAACCCGAATTGCATCTCGGAAAAGGCATTTTTGTCTTCTAGCTCCTTAAGTAGTCGCTCCCTAACCATTGCCTCATAGAGCTTGCCGATTGTGTTAAGTAGGCATATTAGTCTATATGCAGATAGATGGTTGGACTCACTGTTGGCCTTGTGCAAATTTCGAATTTTAAAGATAACTTAAAAACGAATGAAGAGAAAATTTAAGCTCTAATCCAATCTGCGGTAAGCAGATTAAAGTTTGGGCATAGTCGAAGCATCTGGGGAATACTTTACAGGGTGTCTTTTTTTTTACTTTAAGAAAATAAATAGTCTGGACCGTATTTTCTTAGGCAACCCATTTGCGGTATATTTATAAACATATTTTATTTAATAAAAAGAAACTTATATTCATTAAACAGATGGGTGAAGGTCGACCTTACTTCGGATCTTAGACTATTATAGAAAACGAAGAGTCATAAATAAATAAATAAATAGGATAATATATATAAGAAAAATAAGAAAAATAGATAAAACAGGTAAAATAGATAAAATAGAATAAAATAAATAGGTATCATAGGTATATCACAGCTCGTTATCGTTGGTTTACCACTTTCTTAAAGACTGGGCATTTGAAACTTGCGTTTCTATGCCCTTCCACTTTACAAGTCCAGCAGTACTCGTTCTAGGATTTACATTCCGCCGCCTTATGCCCGTCTTCTCTACACTTCCTGCATTTTTCTCCAATGGGTTGTTCCTTGCAGTCTCTTGCAATGTGACATATGCTGCCACAATTAACGCATCTATTAACATCTATTCCTTTCTTTACCCCACACGACGTCTATCCCACTCTAATTTTTTGTTCTTTGACAATTTTTTCTTCTAGATTTTCTGCCATTTCTAATGTAGCCGCCTGCCTGCTTCCTGCCATCGGCTGCATTGATCTTACCACTACTGTGCCAGGACCCGTCTGGATCTCCACCGCTTGTACCAGTTCCTCCTTCGTGGTCACTGCGTCCATGTCATAGATGTGGACTGCGGCTATGTTTTCTTTTAGTAGTTTCACCTGTGCTTCACTGATGTGTTTCATTACCTCTTCCTTTAGTGTTTCAATTCCGTTTTCGTTTTCCATTTCTACTGGGAGGTCTCCTGCTTTTGTTTTTTTATTGTTTTAACCCCATGAGATACTTGTCACCTTCTGTTTTAACTTTCTTAGCAGTTCCTCATATAATACATTCCTATCTTTAATGACCATTGCTGGTGGTTGTTTGCCGTTCTTCTTTTTCAGGGCCGCGGTCCATTTTCCGTTGTCCTGTTCTAATTTCATGTCCATATCAAAAAACATAATCTCATTTGTAATTCCCCTGAAAACACACTCCATCATTTTTCTCATTTTTTCTAAGAGACTTCTTGGGTCGGTGAGCATCGCTGGATTCTCACAGTCCGTGTCCTCCATTCTTTCCCTTAGCTCAACCAGAAGTTTGTAGTCTTCCTCTTTCTGCCGGCTGAGTCCCTCCAAAAAACTGGACCTTCCTGTTCTTTTTGTCAGTGCCTGTCCATTAATGGTTAGTTGTCTGGTATTTCGAAGCGTAGCCACTTTTTCTTTCTTTATCCTGCCTAGATCTATTACGTCTTTAATCTGGTTCGAATAATATTGCCACGTTAATATCACCCGGTATGGATGTGGGATTACCACTACAAACCCTAGTACTTTAATCCTGGCTGTCTTTCATAATAAAGACCCTATTATTATTTCTAAAACAGTCATTTAGCGTAACCTGCGCACTATTGCCAGTGACCCTAGGTTTAGAAATATGGTCCTCCCTGAGTTCGCATTTCCATATTTTCACAGCCTTTGCCCTTTCTAGTATTTGAATATGGAAAGTTTTCTAGTCATGAATAATAGGTATTTTATCTGATGGTTTAGGGACCGTGCGTGAAATATAGAGGCAGCACTACTGCCGAAGTTAGCCCTCTCTAGTGTTCAATTTTAGAATTAAATGGGGTAAACATTGCAAGTAAAAAATAAAGGATATTTTTTAAAATATTAAATATAGTTAAATATAGTTAAATATAGATACCGGCCCGTAACAAACAATCGTTTTACATGGTCAAAATGATATAAAATGTGAAAAATTATTAAAATCTGGACATGTATATACATTTTAAGCAAAAAGATTTAAATGGTTAAGTGACAATAAATTGTAAAGTTGTACCTCAAGCAAGTGTATCCAATGTCAAAATATCGGTATTTAGTAACACTGAATTTAAAAGTATTACAATAACATTTTAAAATTGTAAATTAATAAAATAGATTGAGAATAATAATAATAATTCTTTATCTTAGTAGAAATGTCATTCATTCACCTTAGACGTTTATGAGACACCCAATACTATACATAATTATACAGATTGCTCACCCATCTATAAAAAAGATTACGAAAAGCGGGTTGCAATGTGCACTGCTCTCACATACTTTGAAAGTTGCCTTTCCTAGTATCCACAAAATAGGGCGTTCTATCCCAAATGTGTTTTAAAATAAAATTTCAGCGTTTTATTCTTTAGAAAAAGAAAATAATTACTTAATTCAAGATACGTTATTATGTAATTTGAGAGTTGAGTTTCCATGTAATTAAATAATATTAAGAGATCTAAACAATTTTTATAAGGATGGATGTAAACAATTTTAGACCACTCTCATTTCAGAAATAACACTATATAAAACACATAATTGCAATATGTAATACAACTTTGTAAAGGTAATGTAAACAACTTTAATATGAGATATAAACAACTTTTGTAAGAGTTGTAATTGGACACATCTATTATTCTGAGTAATGTTTAATAGTAATGTTACTAACAATTTTACAGAAAATCACTGCATTTTTAATATTTTAAAATTTGTTGCAATCTTTTTTGACAGTAATTGCAATGTATTAATTATGATTTGTTTATTTTAGTGATAAATGAGAAATAGTTAACAAATTGTATGATATGTTTGTCAAATTGGACATTCTAATTTCACAGTAACATTCTACATTAGTTTTAATTAACAGAATAAACCATTAATTATCTGTAAAATTATATTTACATAAAATGTTCATTTAAATATGTAAAAATCTTAATGACAAAAAACACTAAAGATTCTAATTTCATAAACCGGTTCTGTAAATGATTTGTTTACAACTAAGGGTGAGATTACAGAACGTCTGCAACTTTGCAGATCTGCAAATATGGCGGCAACTTTGCAGATCTGCAAATATGGCGGACTTGCAGATGCAAGTATCCAAAAAATATCTGCAAATTCGCAATATTTATTACCCCTAACAACACACTAAATCCAAATCCTCCCTTAAGAAGGTTAGAACATCCTACAACCATGAAGTCTTCTGTTTCTTTTGATTAAATACAGTTCATGGTGTCAGATTATCGAGTTTTTAAACATAGTAATGGATTTGGATTTAGTGTTGTTGGTGGTAATAAACCATAATAAATATTGCGAATTTGCAGATCTTTTTTACTTTCCTATCTGTATACAGATATAAGGAAAGTATAGGAATCATGATTTTTTTCGACCTCGAGTTTTCGACGGATTTTTACGTTTTGAGGTCCCCTGAATCCGTTTTGACTATTTTCGCGATGATGTGTGTGTGTGTGTGTGTGTGTGTGTGTGTGTGTGTGTGTGTGTGTGTGTGTGTGTGTGTGTGTGTGTGTGTGTGTGTGTGTGTGTGTGTGTGTGTGTGTGTGTGTGTGTGTGTGTGTGTGTGTGTGTGTGTGTGTGTGTGTGTGTGTGTGTGTGTGTGTGTGTGTGTGTGTGTGTGTGTGTGTGTGTGTGTGTGTGTGTGTGTGTGTGTGTGTGTGTGTGTGTGTGTGTGTGTGTGTGTGTGTGTGTGTGTGTGTGTGTGTGTGTGTGTGTGTGTGTGTGTGTGTGTGTGTGTGTGTGTGTGTGTGTGTGTGTGTGTGTGTGTGTGTGTGTGTGTGTGTGTGTGTGTGTGTGTGTGTGTGTGTGTGTGTGTGTGTGTGTGTGTGTGTGTGTGTGTGTGTGTGTGTGTGTGTGTGTGTGTGTGTGTGTGTGTGTGTGTGTGTGTGTGTGTGTGTGTGTGTGTGTGTGTGTGTGTGTGTGTGTGTGTGTGTGTGTGTGTGTGTGTGTGTGTGTGTGTGTGTGTGTGTGTGTGTGTGTGTGTGTGTGTGTGTGTGTGTGTGTGTGTGTGTGTGTGTGTGTGTGTGTGTGTGTGTGTGTGTGTGTGTGTGTGTGTGTGTGTGTGTGTGTGTGTGTGTGTGTGTGTGTGTGTGTGTGTGTGTGTGTGTGTGTGTGTGTGTGTGTGTGTGTGTGTGTGTGTGTGTGTGTGTGTGTGTGTGTGTGTGTGTGTGTGTGTGTGTGTGTGTGTGTGTGTGTGTGTGTGTGTGTGTGTGTGTGTGTGTGTGTGTGTGTGTGTGTGTGTGTGTGTGTGTGTGTGTGTGTGTGTGTGTGTGTGTGTGTGTGTGTGTGTGTGTGTGTGTGTGTGTGTGTGTGTGTGTGTGTGTGTGTGTGTGTGTGTGTGTGTGTGTGTGTGTGTGTGTGTGTGTGTGTGTGTGTGTGTGTGTGTGTGTGTGTGTGTGTGTGTGTGTGTGTGTGTGTGTGTGTGTGTGTGTGTGTGTGTGTGTGTGTGTGTGTGTGTGTGTGTGTGTGTGTGTGTGTGTGTGTGTGTGTGTGTGTGTGTGTGTGTGTGTGTGTGTGTGTGTGTGTGTGTGTGTGTGTGTGTGTGTGTGTGTGTGTGTGTGTGTGTGTGTGTGTGTGTGTGTGTGTGTGTGTGTGTGTGTGTGTGTGTGTGTGTGTGTGTGTGTGTGTGTGTGTGTGTGTGTGTGTGTGTGTGTGTATAACGCATAACTCATGAACCGATACACGGAAAAACACCAAATTTCAAACTTAAGCTTTGTTCCAGCGTCTAATGAGCTGATAAGATTTTGGGCAGAGTCAGAATATCTGGGGGGGTACTTTAAAGGTGGTCATTTTTATATTTTATGGAATATATCTGTTATTTACGTTTGGGGAAGAAAATTTTTCAAATGAAAGTTACTTCTTATATTATTATCTATAATTTTTGTTATATACAAAATTTTCCTAAAATGGTCCGTATTCGCGAAATTTGACAAAATGTAAAAAAATATTTTTTTTTATAAAAATTGTTTAAACAAAAGTTGTTTGTAATATAATTCTCTATAATTTTTATCCTATAGATAATTTCTCTAAAATGGACTGTATTCGAGATATTTGAGAAAATGTGTAAATTTCGAAATTTGAAGAAAACTCAAAAACGGATAAAGAAAAAAACATTAAATTTTAAACTTAAGTTTTATTTAGGCCTGACGTGAAATGCTTAGATTTTTGACAAAGTCGGAACATCTGGGGGGGTACTTTATGGGGGGCCGTTTTTATATTTTATGGAATATATCTGTTATTTATGTTTGGAGAAAAAAATTGTTTAAATAAAAGTTACTTCTAATATTATTACCTATAATTTTTGCTTTATGTAAAAATTTCCTGAAATGGTCCGTATTCGAAAAATTTGACAAAATGTGCAAAATTCTGATTTTTATGAAAATTGTTGAAATAAAAGTTGTTTGCGATATCGATCTCTATAATATTTGTTTATACATGATTTTTTTAAAATGGACCGTAATGGAAAAATTGTAGGAAAAGTGCTAAATTTAAATTTTTCAGTGTTTTCATTTTCAATGAATATCTATAGAAAAATGTTTCGCGGTAGATGTATGTGGACAATGTATATATTTAGTTTATCCTCTAAACATTTATAGAGATGCTGCAATAGGTTGTACAAAATAACCGGAAAAAGCCTGTAATTACTAGATAGGAAAGTCATGTGTTGGACACATCAGATTTTTGGAATACGAAAACTTGATACATGCATATGTAAGTCCGCCATATTTGCAGATCTGCAAAGTTGCCGCCATATTTGCAGATCTGCAAAGTTGCAGACTTTCTGTAATCTCACCCTAAGTGCTCAACATTGATACAAGATAGATACATATGGATAAGCATTCTATGTAATTATGTATATCGTTGGGTGTGAGACAGGAACTCTGCTCTGTGGAAATTTATAAAATTTCTTTACTATCGAATGAAATCCAGGTTTCTAAAGTGATGTGTTTGTACATCCACGGATGCAACAAGTTTTTTCGATAATGATATGAAAATAATTCGACTTTTAATTAATAATTACTAAACAATAAATGCCGTATAAAACATTAATTAATCTCCCCCAAAAAGTGCACATTATTGCCACCATTTGGCGCACGGCCCCTATTATTAACACCGAATTTTATTTTAGTTTTTTCAAATATCATTGTTGAAAGTTCCCATCTAAATCCATGCCTCTTTTTTCACCACAATATTTTGTACACTCATTTTTCCAACATCGTCCACACCCACATAAATGAACTTTACTTTCGATTATGTATTTTTCTACACATAAAACAAACTTCATTTATCTGTTTTCCTTTTTCGGACATTTTGATACTTCCTAATATTTTAGATTATTCAACAGTATTTTCTGTAAATAATTAAATGATTAAAGCATAAATAATTACCGACATATAAGTACTAAAACATGCCAAATAAACTGACAATATTATAACGAAAAAATGTAACCTTCTAATAAAATAAAATTATGTATTTTGTTTAAATGTGATCGTAGACAAAATCTTGTATAATTCGAGCAGAAAGTCCTTTGAAAGTTTCGACAAATTACCAACTTTCTGTCTCAACTGCCAAAGTGCTACTTTCTGCTCTGAATACACAAGTAGCTATAAATAAATGGACATTTGTAAAAGTAAATTAAATGTTTTTTAGTTAAATTAGTTATTTTTTTGTTCTTGCCAAATTGATTTTTCTTTCAAACAATTCGGAACGGTTTAATTTAAATCTACAACATTTTGTAGCCACATAAAACTTGTGGAATATAGGCTTATTAAATATTGAATCATACACAGGCCATTATTCATCAAAAAAAACGAAGTTTCTTATACATATTTAAATTTCTGAAAATATAATCCTGTGCTACCTAAATCCCCCGAATATCTTGGCTGCATTGTAAAAGCAAAAAAATGGAGTAAATGCCACTGAAGGAGTAATCCAAAAATGTAAAAATATACAAGGTATTTAAATTAAAATGTAACAAACATTTTTACCATTTCACTGTGGAGCATTTTGTACAAATTTCGATATCTAAATTAGTTTCGGCGCCTCTATATTTAAAATTCTTTATTAGACTTTATATATTTGATACTCTATTGGCTTACATAAAATATAATGAAAGAAAAATATTTTATTGCTTTTCAGATAAAACTTTCTTTAATGGAGATCCAGTCCAGGAAGTCTTAGAGCTAAAAGAAGAAGAAAAATACACATCCATTGTCGCCGAAAATGGATCATCTGCCGCAATAGTCCAAATTTCAGTCCTTCTATTAGGCCTTATCCAATTACTTTTGTAACTAATTCCAATTGCGCAGGCTCAAAATTGTAATTTTAATTTGTAAATATGTCTGTGATAAAATGAAAAAAAATTAAGTAAGAGTGAATGTGATCTACGAAATACGAATAGATCTGCACGCTATAGGAGTATAAGCCATTTCTCTTCTTCAACTATTCTCAATCGAATAAACGAATCTGCCAGGCGTTTTTAAACTAATTTATTTAAAAACTAGTTCTAATAAATTACATAAATTTACAAATTTTGTTACCATAAGACAAATAACTTTAAAAGTAATCGAATATTTTTACTTATTGTAAAATTTGCATATTTGGAATATAAATAACATGATTTTAAATAAATGCAACGAATAAAAGGAAACACATATACACATCGCCAAGTTCCAAATGAAATAATCTTTTCTTATCTTTTTTCTTCTCAGATTCCATTTACCTTTTCAGGCGTCGGAAAAGGATTCATTTTCCTGCCTTTCTGTTCTCAATATTTTCATATCTTATTGTCATTTCTTTTTCGTTCTTATTTCTTAAATTGTTCTTGTTATTTTGTCAGGCTTTATTTTTACCATGTGTCCATACCAATTTAGTTGTTTCTGATCTATTTTTTCTATTATTAGTTCTTATTTTATTATTTTGTTATTTTTCTAATTTCCTCATTTTATTTCCATTTTTATTTCAATTTTCTTGTTCGAAATGCGCATGCTTATCTGTCGTGGACATGTCGCCGAGAGGCTATGCGAACAAAGCATTTTATATATGACGCATGAGCAAAAATTAACCTTGTATAAATTTTATTAAAAAGTACTTTTTCTGAAATAATTAAATTGCTATTTGAAAATTATGGTAGTTTCAAAAAATATTTGGCGATGTCTATATGGAGTGATCCACAAAAAATATTTTTAAAGTAAGCCTTGGAAAAAAGTGACGTATGTTTCATGATTCTTCTTTTTTTAAAGACAGTTTGAATTTAATCTAGAGGCATGTAGTTACCACATGACTCGTATATTTGTCTGTAATGAATGGCCAACTTTAGAAACATTTTTTGTATGTTATATTATTCCAAAATAATATGTAATAACAGCTTGAAATTTAGTTAAAACATTATTAAATTACATTTCTTTATAAATAATAACGATATTTCAATTTGGTGCTATTTAGAAATTAAAAAAAAAATTCTGTTCTTAATAATAATTGAACCTAGGTTCAAATAAATGACTTCTGGAAGACGAGCAACTGCCACAAACCAGTCAATTAATAATAGGTATAATGATTATTACAATTTTGATCTGTAAAAGATTGTACGAGGTCTGCTGCTAAAATTTTGGGAAAGTGTCAAACAAATTGTTTTTTAGTGTCTCACTGTCAAAAAATCTCCTTATTGATTTTTCAGTACTTATCCTTCAGGTCTATATACTTTTTCATTAAACCGAACCAATTTTCACTTTTAAGACCCAACTCAACTTTTTTTAGGTTAGAAATCTTTAAATTATCGATTTTTCATTCGAAGTAATACAAGACGCCACTTCAAATTTGTATCTCTTAATGTCAACAAATACGTAACACGATGAGTTTAATAAAATTAGCACGGCTGCAAATTTCTTATCACCACCTTAGATGGCGCCACCTCATCGACAGTACATTTTTAAATCTTAACACAAGTTTCCTGAAATAATTATACAAAACTAAAAAAGTGTAATTCGCGTTTTAGCTTTTAAATATAATAAAAAATGATGGAAAGTATATAACTTTAAGAATGATTCGACAATTTTAATTATTTCATACGAATCTTCGAAATAACCAATCAGTATTAACTGATTTTTTTCATGGTCACCTATATAGTGCTTTTCAGATAAAAGTATCCGCCTTAAGTTACTTTTGAACCACTGATTATTCCAAAAAAACATAAAAAAAAACAAAAAATACGTCAATTAATATTCGAATACCTATATTGTGTCATATTTTTTAAATGGCTTCCCCCCCTTTTTAATAAATTTTTGGATTCCTCTCGTTTAACTGATTTCAAAAATGTATAAAACATGGGGTTTGAAGTAATTGGTTTATGATCTACAGAATTTTAAATTAAAATTAAATTAAATTATGCAAAACTTTTATTTTAATGATTTTATCACTAGCGTTTCCAACGAATATTTAATTTTCAAAATTTATAATAAAAATTGTTTAAAATTACAATCATTTACTTCCAGACAATGGTATAATCTAGTTTGAAAAGCCTCTATGACATTACCGAATACGTCTGTTTTTAAATTTCGCCATTCAAACTCTATCCTTTGTCAAAAATCTTCTAACGTATCTGATTGGGTGGCACACATTTTTATTTTCAAATAATCCCATAAAAATAAGTCTAGTGGTGTTAAATCCGGTGATCTAGGTAGCCACTCCATTATCGAGCCTCTTATACCTATCCAACGAGCGGAGAAAGTTTCATTTAAAAATTATCTTACAGGCAGAGCAAAGTGTAGACACGCTCCAATCCTATTAAAATACAAGCAAATCTTCAGAAAGGTTATGAACATTTTTTATTATTGTTGTAATACGTAGATCAATTACTTCTCTCAATAACTCAAGATACGCTTCACCATTTAAGTTGCCACCTAAATAGAAAGGTTTCGGTTATGTGGTCACCTAGGATATCACACCATACATTTAACTTTTGATGTTTAACAGCAAACCTAAATATGGCACAATATATCCCCCTTCGAATATTAATTGACGTATTTTTGTTTTGGTAATAATCAGTCCTTCAAAAGTTACTTAAAGTATCCATTATTCTGAAAAGTACTAAAAACCATGCAATCAATTTATTTGAAACACTGCAAAAACGAATAATTTTCGTTACAAGTTTCTGATTTGAATATTTTACGTTTTTACCTGGTACCATTTGGCACGAGCTTTCTGACATTCAAATTACTATAAATAATTTATTGTTATTATTGCTATCTTAGATGGATTTTCACTCCCAAAAGTCTCAATTAATCATGCAGGAGAATGTTGTTCGTAAATTTTTTTTATATAGAACACACTATTCCGTAATTTTTTTAGCACTCCCCGTACGTTATTCATAACCACTTTAAATTTTCGGAAAATATTCAAATAAACCAATGAGTACTATTTTATTGGATTAGAAAGATACAATGCCATTTTCTATTTAATTATATGTAAACCCAAACATTTTAAAAATAAATGGAGCCCGCACACGCGATACTTCGTGTAGTATTCATAGTCAGATTCTAGCGGCTCTCCCCTTTTTAATTCAAATGACTATGAATACTAACTATACTTTCCACACCGATTCAAACACGATACATTGCTGTATAATTGTGTACTGAACAGTAAATCAAAACTCGTTAACGATTATACCGATATCAAAAGTATCTGCATGTTCATGCACCATCTTACATTACAATACTACTAATATGTATTTATAATATGTTTAATCAACGCTGATTGTTTGATCTTAATAGTATTAAAATTTCTTGAATACTTTTGTAATTTACTATTTACGACAAATCTAACTAGTCTTTTAGGTATTCACTTCAGATAAAAAATAATAAAATTTAATACATTAAACTAGTGTCTTATTTCTATTGGTCATGGGTATATCTACTTAAATGCCAATAAAATGTAAAGAAGAACTTTGAAAAACAGCATCACTTATAGTCTATTTTTATGTATGAGAGAGTATTAAAATAATAAAGCGTTCATAATCCATAGGCGTACCACTTCTTTTAGTAGACAGTTAAAATATTTTTTGAAATTATTCCTCGAGTATACACTTATATTTTCACCTAATTAACCTGCTTATAACTTCTAAACAGCTGAAGGTAAAAAAGTGCAATTTTTTCTAAAATGTTTTATTTTTCCACAAGGTATCTTAAGAACATTGTGTCAAACGGGTTATGTAGGTATAAGGGTTTAAACTTTGACTTTTAAACGTTACGTTCATAAATAATAATTTTAATATAAAAACTACTTCTTACCTACAAATCAGAATCGAAATCAGAAGATGAACTATCGCAACCAATATTTACAATGAGTGGCTCGATCATTTCATTAGTAATATTGTCCAACTTCCACATTTTCTCTTCTTCTTTAATCGTATGATTTACTGCCTTTTCCCAGTTTTTAGGCTTCACGTTATTTACAGCCTCCAAAAACAACTGTTTAACATCACTCATTTTAAAAGAATTATTTTTTCTTGAAACTTCTCCCTTTATCTGTGCCCATAACAGTTCAATCGGGTTTACTTCGCAATGATATGGTGGTGATCTAACCACCGTCATCCCACGATTTTTTGCAATTTCATCAATTTCATCAATTTCATATTTTTTGAATTTCTCTTTATGAAGGGAACACAAATGATACAGTTCTTTTCTCACAGAACCGGGATGGAACTTAATATTCTTTGAATTTAGCCAATTCTGTAAATCTTTTTTTAACCACTTGGTTGTGGGCATTTTTTCTATAACTCTCGAGTGATAAATTGCATTATCCATTACTATTATACAGTTCTGAGGAAGAAGATCTATAATTTGTTCGAACCACTCTTTAAAGACATCAGCATTCATGTCCTCATGGTAGTCACCGGTACGAGTAGATTCAAAAGTCAATAAACCACCTTTAACAAAACCGTTTGAACTACCGATGTGTACTATTATTAGTCTGCGCCCCTTTCCTGATGGTGGATTTAAACCAGTAGATAAATTATTTAAAAAAGCCTGTCTTCGACTTGTAACAGTTTCATCTTGCCAAAATTTATTTGGTTTATGTCCCTCGTTGATCCATGTTTCATCTAAATAAAATATATTTCTTCTTTGGTTTCTCATTTCTTTTATAGTCCTTAGGTAATTTCTTCTCCATACTACAATATCGCTTCTTTCTATTAAAATAGACTTTCTGGAATGCTTTTTCCATAGAAAACCTATTTCTTTTAAAAGTTTACATAGTGTGCTTCGACTCATTTCAGGGTAATGCTTATCATCTCGAACCGTGGCAAGAACTTTGTCTACTATCGGAAATTCTTTTCTAAAGAAGAACGTATGCACTTTCTTTCAAAAGATTTTCTAATTGAAATTTTGGTTTTCCTGGAGCTTTACGTGCTGTTTGAAACTCGCCACATTTCTCTTCTTTAACAACTCTGTAAATCGTAGATTTCCCAACACCAAGCGTACTACTAACTAATTCCACTGTGTCATCAACACTTTTACATAAATGTTTGTCTGTAAATGATTTAAAACAATTAAATATTAATGTTTTTTCATTAACTGTTAAAGGACCGATTTTTTGTCGTTTACGCGGCCCTTCCAAATTTTCCATGATCACACTAGAATTCACACTGCACCTTGCAAGTTGCAACTAAACGACATTTAGTAAACTGTCAAGAATACACAACTTGGACCTTCTTACTAAATGGAAAACCTATAATCGCATTTTCGGTGAAATTTGTTGGGAAGGTATTTATATACTTATAATTCGATTACTGTAAGAAATTCTTGGAATTAAAATAAAACCAAATTGGCAAATAGGTACTTATTGAAAATAATCTTAAGATACGGCTATGTAATCTTTAATACATAGGGCTTTTGGCCTGTCCAAACCTTTTTCTATTGTTCTGTACAGCTTAGGTTTATAAAGGACCAATAAAAGACCCAAAACTTGTAATTGCTCAGGTACATTTATTACAATTTTATTAAATATTTAGATTATTCTGTAAAAATATTTAAAATCACCGTACTAAGTTTTGCATTATAAATGCTGTTTTATTACTCATACATAAAAATAGACTATAGCATTCTATTGTTTATGTAACATAACATTCGCCGCTACCTCTAGATAAACAAGTAACCAACGAATAGTATGATTACAAGGTGGCCCACAATTGCCCTAGCGACAATTGGAGTATTTACCGCGGAGGTGGTGTGGTTCGTTATTTAAAAGTTCTTAAAAAGGCGCCAGTATATTTTGCCACGGAATACCCCCTGCTGAAAACCAGCCTCCAAAACAACAAATTGGCTTTATACAGGTTGGAGGTCGAAAAAATACCACTAGGCAAACAGGCTAAAATAAAACGAGAGAGATGACCTTAATAACCCACTTAAAAATTAATTTAAACCTAGTGAAACTCCACACGGAGGTGAAATAGGCTTACCCTAACGCCACGTGATTCTCGGAGGACCCTGAGCCGTTCTCTGGATCCCACAAAATCCGGCAGAGCATTCCGTATTCGCCGCTAGATGGAACCCTTGAAACAACCAGTCCAGGATCAGTGGATGACAGTGGTTCACGCCCAGACACCCCCTAACCCCCCAAAGAAACCAGGCAGCTACTGGTGGAACAGAAACAGATATTCATGACATACAAAAGATTAGTGGCCACCAATTCACTAGCGCGAGAGAAAGCTCACGTCCTAAAATGACCATATGTCGAAGCAAAAGGGTCCTGACGCCCGAGCGACCAAATTCTGGTCACTTCAGTAATAATGGAGTCGAGAGGAACATAGTAACCGTGTCCAGTGCATCTCAATTGACAATGCTATACCTAGCACACGACGTCTGAAAGACGTCTGTTTCGTGTCTTGGTTTGGTTTCAATATCCTAGGACGTTATTAAGACGTCTTACAAAAGCCCTAATTCAGACGTATTAATGTGAGAGTTCAAAGACGTTCTTAAGACTTCTTGTCAAATCCATATATTGATGTGAAAGCTCAAAGACGTCTTTAAGTCGTCTTACAAACGTCTTTCAGTCGGACGGAAACTTGCAAGGTTTACATAATTCAAATTTAACAAGAAGAATCAAATGAAGTGAAGTTTGACGTTTGACTTAACATTACATTCAAGCCGGACTTCCGATTCGGATACCGTCGTGGCAACATTGAAA